TCTAACACCAAACTCTGTGATCATTTTGCTCATTGTGCTCATTGCACTTTTGATGACAGTTCTTTCACGTTTCTTCTGGTTTCTCAACCAAAACCATGCCAAAATCGGACCGATAGTAAACGCAGATATGTGACAACTTCAAGACATGCAATTAGCGGCGTATCATTGAACGAATGTGTGGCAATTGTACAATACAATTGGAGATCAAAACATAGCGAACAAGAGCCGGCTGTTGACACTGTCTGCTAAATCCAAGCCATAGCGCTCCCAACGCCCTCTGTGGCAGGCTCCGTAGACTCCGGATCACGGACGAAAGTCGGGTCCTGCTTTCATTCGGAGACCGGGCACAGCCGAGGCTCCATCTATGTTACTCCGTGGTTTGCATCTCTGTTCTGTTTTCGTTTCTTGTTCTTGTATTCTTCTTTAGGGTTTGTTCCATGTAGTCAAGACTCATTTAGCCCGATGTAGCCCAATGAAAACTCTAAACCTTTGTATTAATTGAAGAAACCGTTTGAAATCGTTTTTGAATTGTAAGATTCATTGACTTCCTTACAATCAACATTCCTCCTCGACATTTCTTTGCGGAAATCATCGAAATGTGAGATGTACAGCTAAATCCACAAAGGAATACACCCACCAGGGTTGCCAGACGTGGCGATTTGTCGCCAAATTGGCGATTTGAAGCCGGGTTTGGCGACTTAAAAAGACGGCCTGGCGCCAGGCGATTTTTTTGGCGATTCGTGTTTTGACCTGGCGATTTTTGGCGACTGACCTCCAAGTTTGGCGATCCTGGGCGACTCGGGCTACCTGACCCCACGGAAGCGAGGATTACGAAGGGATTAGTACTTTCCCGGCCCGGGGGAGATGAATTTCTCAGAAATAAGCCCAGCAGCTCGCCACATTGTCACACTTGATGACTCTTGGATGCTACCCGAGTTTATTTTTCGCTTGCCTCTTTTTTGGCTATCCCACAAAAAGGTTGGCGATTTTTGGCGATTTGAATCTGTGGCGGGCGATTTTTGGCGACTTGGGCGGCTGGCGACGATTGGCGACTCGAGCGCCCTCTTCTGGCGACTTGACTCACTCCGGACCTGGCAACCCTGACACCCACCCAAACTATAGTTTGCTAATGGGTGCCCGGTGAGAGTGGGAGAGGCTTATTGTGTAATAAAATCTTAATTATATGATACGCCGAGGAATATGTCAAGCTTAAAAATTGGTAAGAATATTGTTAAATATCTGATTTGTTTATTAAAGCTGTTTTCTATTCTTAAAAAATCGTAGAGTATGATAAATTAGAAGATCTGTCTCACCAAATTTTACTCGGCTGAAGTGAAGTTTTATTTGTTTATTGTTATGGGGAGAGTTCTACTCCCCGCGAATAAAATATTTTTCATTCTATGAATGCAATATAAGTAATAGGTATTTATAAACGTTGTGCTGAAGTTTTCTATACGCACCAGGAAAGTCTGTTCTGTGGGTTCGGTGACCGAGGGAAGGTTAGGTTGTCGGTTATGAGTCATATGTTTCAGATAATAGTTCTATTTAGCTTGTCTACCGAAAATAATCACGGCTATGACTTTCGTAAATTAAACTTCCGAACTATTAATTCCAATTTTGTCTCCTGTAAATATTTCTAGACTGCTCAAAGGTTACAGCAGTATTGACAGATGCTGACATGATTTATACACTAGCCCATTTGGACTTTTGAAGTGAACCTGTACCTTTACTAATAAACAAATTTTTAGTTAATATGTCATTAATTTAACCTGCAGTCTGAGAGAACCTCTGTCATAAATTTGAACTGTTTTGTGAGACATTTCTGCTGTAATGCGTTCTGGTATATTGGTAGCAGAAAAGTGCATGTTTTTGAATGTTTGTGTCCTGCTGATTTTAAACCAGATTCCGCTTCAAATGTCGATCTGTGTGTAGTGCATTTGAAAGCAGTGTTGACATTTTTTTTCTTTTCATTTGCATTATCAGCCTCATTACAGTATATTAGTTTTACTTATCAGTCTATTGTAATTTGACTGCTATGTTCTCTGTCTCCTTAGCACAGTATTAATTGTTTTGATTTTTGAGGTCTTCACTTGCTAGTGCGCATGGTAGAGTTAGTAATAGAAACACTGTTTTTTTTTACCTTTTGTTTTAGTATGATATAACTTGTTGGTGTGTGGTATGATGCAAGACATTCATGCAGTGGCTTGCTGAAATTGATGTGGCAGGCGTATGGCGCACCCACCTGCACCCAGCAGTGCATCGTGCTATGCATCGTGCCTAGCCGCCTGCCACTCCTTGTGTCACGCTCAGTGCCTAGCCAACACTAATCTTTACTACAAAAAGATATTGTACGAGCGAACTCACCAACACATGGCTGCAATGCGTTCGCATGGTAAATTTTGTGTCTTGCTCTCCCCTTAGCAAATTTTGAAAGGTTTTAGTAGAATTGGAATTAATTACATTAATTTTATTATTTGCAGGTAAAGCTAGCCAAGATGATGTGTGCTATGTTGTTGCAAAGTATGACTACACTGCTCAGGGTGCCCAGGAGCTTGATCTACGCAAAAATGAGCGTTATGTACTGCTAGATGATACTAAGCATTGGTGGCGTGTTCAAAATGCACGCAGTCAAGCGGGCTATGTTCCGAGTAACTATGTTAAGAAAGAGAAACCATCATTATTTGACAGGTAATGAATTTAATCATTTGTGTTAAAAGTAATGTTTTTATATATTATCTTTTTATTGGATTCATAGCATGTATGCTTATTTTCAGTATCAAGAAGAAAGTTAAAAAGGGTTCCGGATCAAAAACTCTTCCGTCTGGTAACTCTCCTTCTAGGGTGATGGAATCACCTTCAATGGCTCGGCGCCTGCCTGCAGATCCATCAGAGGCAATTGGCACAGCAATTGTGAAATACAATTATCAAGCTCAGCAGCCAGATGAGCTGTCACTAGTCAAGGTAAGCACTTATCTGCTTCTTACATTTATTTTATACAGTACTTTTACTCAAGAGTACTAACTCTGGACGTCTTAATTCCCCCTCCCAGGGTACTCGTATTTTGATTTTAGAGAAAAGCAATGATGGATGGTGGAGAGGTCAAAGTGGAAGTCAAGCAGGATGGTTTCCTTCTAATTACACTCAGGCTGAGTGTGATGCAGATGACACATTACACACTTATGCTATGGCAGAAAATGTTCTTGATATTGTAGTTGCATTATACTCATTCAATTCAACCAACGATCAAGAGTTATCATTTGAGAAGGGAGATCGTTTGGAGATTTTGGACCGCCCTCCTTCTGATCCTGAGTGGTATAAGGCTCGAAATGGTCAGGGACAAATTGGACTGGTGCCGCGGAACTATCTCCAAGTATGGAAAGCAATTATTCCCATTGTTATCAGTCTTTCCTGGTATGACTACTAATTTAAATTTTTTATGTGTGTAGGAACTCAGTGAATATCTTACGCAGCCTTATCAAAGTCGAATTGGTGGAGGGCCAGTGGAATCAATAGATCGTAGGCAAGGTAATAGTAACAAGACGGGCCCTTCTACCTTAGATAGACCACACCTGCTTGGGAAGCCATGGTATTTTGGTAGTGTTACACGAGCTCAGTGTGACAACTTACTGAACCAACAAGGACATGATGGAGATTTCCTGATAAGAGACAGTGAAACAAATGTAAGTTTATTTCAGTGTTCAAGCCTAGATATTTTCTCTATGAAGTCTATTTAAATATAGAACTCCTGCCATGACTCTTTTTTCCATACAGATGGGAGACTATTCAGTTTCACTGAAAGCTCCTGGCCGTAACAAACACTTCCGAGTTCACGTTGAAGGTGCTTTGTACTGCATTGGTCAACGCAAATTTCACACCCTGGAGCAGCTAGTTGACCATTATCAACGTGCCCCTATCTACACAAATAAGCAAGGCGAGAAACTTTATCTTGTGCGCCCTTTGCCACGACCAGCTCAGACATAGACTTTTTATATCTAGATTGGACTTGCTGTTTGTGGCATTCTAGTTACACAGAATTCTTATTGCTTTAAGATGTTTTGTATGGACGTTTTTTAACTCTTAAATTTTTAAAAGTGAGTTGCAACTAGTGTAATTAAGATACTCATCCAATCAAATGTAAAAGTGAGCTATGATGTTTTAGGAAATAATTGTTATTGATTTATGCAGCCTGAGACATGCCTGACACAGAACTTTTTGTTCTTTTCTGTGACTTTTAGTTACTCTTGAATTATTTTCTCTCTTTCTGTGCAAGGTGATCTAAAATTTGATCAAACCATGCATCTTTGAACAATGATTTTCTCTCTTGTTTGTATGATTCTTCATCATATTCTTATATTGAGAACAAACTTGTAAACCTAATTTTCAAATCTCCCTCTTCCCCCATTATTATAACAAAACATTTATTTAATGGTGTCATAAGAATTTGGTCCGAAAGTGAGCTCTCCCTGGCTCTCCGCACCACTTTCCCCACCCTTTCCCGCATGTATTTCCCCAGGCCAGGGGAGTGTTTGCCCCCAGGCAAGGGGGACTGGCGGGGACGGGTGGGGAAGTGCTGGGGAGAGCTCTCTTTTGATTGACTTCAATTTTTATAGACTTACGAACCAGAATCATTATTAAAATCCGACTGGAAATGGTCTCTTTCTCTCATGCTTAGTAAGGTTTTTCTGTTAACACTGCCATTGGTTTGTTGCTATACAAAAACAAATCCATCATATATGATATTACTTATCTAAGGTCATGGGCTGTATAAAATTAATCTAATATTTGAGGACCGATTTTGCAAAATATCTCCACATGCTTTTACCGCTTATAAGTTCAAAGTGGTACTTTCTGCATCATAATTATACCGTATGTCTGTTGTTGTTGTTTTAAACTTTTTGTCATGACAGTTCAATATTCCACATGGTCTTCATTGCACATTTACATACTGTGGTTAATTAGTATTCATTTTTACTCCAGAAATTATATTTTTCTGGGTTTTTCTGTGTGTGTGAGATTGCGTGTTACCGTTTTTCTTTATTTTCGTAGAATTTGGCCAGCTTTTAGTAATGGTTTGTTACTGTCAAGGGTTTTATTCTAATTTTAATGTTTTTACGCACATGATTGTACCACCACCCGGTTTTTAATTAACTTGTAATCATTTCCCTGTGAAAATTGGACCCTTTTAATTTCCTCTGTTCATGAAATATCGCTGATTCTATGAAATGTTTTTTTACAGAACATATTTTTCCTCATTGAAAAATGAGCCTCTAATCTGCTTCATACTTGTAATTAAATATATGTTTATATCATTGTATAAAATATTTATTTCATTTATTTCAAACTTAGAGTTTTAGTTTACTGTAAGTTGAATGCATGGAGCATAAGGTAATTGCTCCTTGTTATCATTTGCCATCTTCTTATCTCCTTTATTTTCTTACTGTGAATCTCTTGTCTTGTTGGTGATATTTGTGGTGTTTCTTTTTTTTTTTAAATTAATAATTTTATTGCTTTAAATGATTCATTCAATCAGCATCACATACCCATTGGTAGGTCTGGGTATCCCAAAGGGGTTCCAATATGTTGAAGCAAGTAAGCTTACTTTGAGTCCGTGTAGTTAATTTTCTTAAAAATACAAGGTGTTTCATGATAGAATTATATCTTTATAAAATATACTGTCATTTTGTCTTCTTGGGTTGCACCCAGTTTTCTAGCAAGCTCGGACACTAACAGAATTCATTCCAATGTTGCTGGGTAATGAGTTTTATGTTGTATCAGAGGACCACCTACCATCCGTGTCTATTCATATGTATCAAGATGCACTTGTCTGCTCTTACTAATACTAATCTTCATAAGAGTAGAATAATGCTTTCTGGAAATGGGACTGTGTGCCACTCAATCTAGCTAGACATGCAGTTGTTAAAATTATCAAGTTTTGTGGTGTTTTCATTCCTATGGCTTATCCAGCACAACAGCAGTAAAGCGACTGACTTGTTGATTGATTGATTGGACCGGGGAGTGCGGTCAATAGTGCCGATGCCAAGTGGTAACCCTGCTGGCTCAGGGCTCCCCTGGTCAACTTAAGATTGAAAGTTGTCTTTTGGCTTTGTGCTAGTGCCTCTACATCACAATTGTTAAAGTTGTTAAAGACATTGCTTGCTTCACTCAAATTTGAATACTGTACTGTGTGATTAGTCAATTTTGATTATCTTTCGAGCTTGTTCCAGGTGGAGTATAGAAAGTAAAGAGGCACCTAGTCATTTGCCAAGAAAACATTTTGGCAAGTTATCAATGGGAGTTATTACTTTTATATTTAAAAAAACAAAAAATAACATGTGTGAATTAATTTCTGAAGTGAGCTGAGCAGTCCCAAGCCGATGCAATTCAAATTTAGGTAGAACCAGCTCTTTTGCTGAATGTTGACTTGTAACTGCATCTTGTTTCTGGAAGTTCAGATGACAAATTCTCACCTATTAACTTGTAGTTTTAGCTTAAAATATTAAAAAAAACAATTGAAGAAATTTGTCTTGCAGAATTTTGCATGCTCAAAATGGAACGCAGCACATAAGTCTGACCAGTAAATCAATGGACTGAAGAGGTTGGTGGCCACAATTTCTCTATTTCTTCATTTTTATTTTGGGAGCAATTCATCAATTGTGTATTTATGTATGTATGGAGTAGCTCCTCAGCTTGTGTAGTTTTGTTTGTGGTGTAACAGATTTCCCTTTTGTCTGATCAATCTACATTCTTTTATGTTTGTTTATTAATTTAACACAATTCCTATTATTAATCTGTCCACTTGTAATTAATTTTCAAAACTGTGCCATATTTTTAAGTTACAATACATTCATAGGGTAGATATAATTCTCTTTACAAATCAGCTCATTGTTTTTACTCTACTCCCAGGCAGTTACATCTTAAAATCTCCTCGCTTCTAGAAAGTATACATGGCATTTGAACTAAGTATGTTGTGTAATTTACAATAGACCCTAGTAGCTTCTGTGAAGCTGCTGAACATCAAAGTTTGAATGTCTTGGTGTCTGCATTGCTTAAAAAACTTGAAAGTATCGGTGACTGTACAGTAATTTAAGTTCGTATTGCCTTGGGATGTTTAGTCTTAATTCAGTATACCCTGTATTATTATTAAGCATAAATAAACAACACTTATAGGTGACTGCTGATAGTGAACAAATTGCACCTTAAAGTATACCTTCTCAACCTCACCCTGATATTAAGAGCAGAAAATGCAAGAGAAATAAATATGAAGTTGATTGAAATTTAAAAAAAAGGAAATTTTACTGAATACAAGATTACATATATGTACAAACCAAATCTTAATGAATGTACTTCCAACAGGTATTACATACCATCAGTACTACGGAAATGATAATCATCAATTGTTGTATAAACATGGCCTTCCCCACATAAAAATTCAACTGCATTCCTGCAAATTTAGGAAAATATTGTTTTAAAATATGTGGTCTGTTGCAAAAAATGAAAGTTTAGGGGCCGTAGCACACTTACATCACTTCATGTTTAGAAGCCACTCCCCGAAGATGCTCCACTAAATCTTCTGAGTAGAGTCCATTCTCGACAGTACAACTCTAGTAAACAAAAAATGTCACATTAAAAATTTTTGCCAAAAAGCTGATGTATGGAGAGTTCTCTTTTAAATCCTCACCTTGATTGCCTCTAGGGCTTTGCTTTGAACACTTGTGAGGCCATGAATAGGTGCTGACTGAACAATAGATGTCATAAGGGAATTGCTCAGATTATTACTCATACCATTACCATTATTGACAGTGCCATTCATGTCTGAGTCCTGAACACCTCCACCTCCCTGCAAATATGAATGATATATAGCCTAAAACAGCAATATTCACTTACATACAGCAAGAGTAACTAATTTTCAAATCGTACCATGCCTGACAAAGCCTCAGCTTTTTTGAAGAAAAGAGCAACTTCTAAAAAGTGTGTAGTGACTTCATTGAAATCTTCAATTTGCTGAATATTAAATGCCATGATGTAGCGTTTCTCCCCTTGGGATCGAATAGTTCCTGATAATCTACAGTAAGTGTTTTCGACGACTTGTGGTTGAGCTGCTTGACCATTTTCATCTTGCTGGAAACCAAACGCATATTTCATATTGAAGAAGCATTAATTATAAGATAATAGTGACAGATATTGGCGGTGGGTATAGGAATGTTAACTCACCCCATCAATCCAATGCACCCCTTCAATGCATCCAGTGTTATCCTCTAAAGTGTACGTAATCTTTACTGAAGTTGTTTCGACCGCTCTGACGATACCAACGAGTGTGACCTATTACACAAAGAAGCACTTGTTGAGCGGAAATGAATGTAATTCATTCAGATCAGAAATTGAAGGTGTCACTGAATGTCACTGTACTCTGCAGTTTAGTTTTCCCCTCATTGAAGAGGGAAGAGAAGAGTATGGTGGCAACGTACTAGAATCAAAAAGCACTTAGGTTTTACTTTAAACTACTTACTAAATAAACATCCAGGCTTCCAACCTTGAAGCCATCATCCGGGCAAGAGAGAACTTGTTTGGCAGTCACAGGCATGATGTTCTGAGCTCGTTTCTGGTCACCCTGTGATGAGAATTAAATTATCAATGACTGGTAACCTGAGCGCTAAAATACATCAAAACACTTCTGCCCTCAAAAAATTACACACCTTTTTTGATACTTGAGGACTTCCTCCTCCGAAGGAATTGTCAGCATTGAAAAAACCACCACCCTCTGTAATTAAGAAAAAAGATAAAAAATAATAAAGGAGGACTAAGAGCCAATTCAAAACTAGGCGTAACTGACACATGTAAGCAACAAACAAAGTATATTTGACAGAAAAATTATAAAACTTTCCTAGTTTGACCAGCCTCCGTTAACCTACGTCTTTAACTCTGAATTACTTCACGGCAAAAATATGAGTACAAAGACGGCTACTTACCATTGCTATCAAACATTGTGATTAATGTGTTTAGATAACTTAAGCGAAACGACAGAAAACTCGCAACAAACAAAGAAACAACGATATTTCTGAAGACACACACCACCTCTCACAACAATGAACAACACTCGCCGATGTTTCGCGGGCTACAAACTCTCTGCTCTCTTCTGTCTCTGTGTGCTCACTGCGTCTTAGATTTCTTCCAGTCTCAAAAAATGTTCGAATTTTTTTTTCTTGGACCTCGAATGATACTATAGAAAAATGACTTAAGAAAACGGTTCCAGTTTAAACTTTTCAACATTTGATCTAATAAAGAAAATAGTAAACTGGTGAACGGTGAACTACAACCAACAGGTTTTGGGGTGGGTTTTGCTTTGAATTGTTTATAGTCGATTCTCCCTAACTCAATTTTGTCTCTCTCTCTCGCTCTCCCTCTTCCTCTCTTTCTCTTTGTCTCTTCCTCTTCTCTCTCTTTCTCTAACGCCAGCTAGAAAACCATATAACATGCTAAGTAACATGTGATAACATATCACAACGGTATCACCAAACGCCGGTGCTGCGGGTTTCGTGTATACTTTTGCATCGAACGTTTTTGTTATACCTTCCGCTAGTTCTAGTGCTATCTTGGTTGTTGTTTTGTTTAAAAGTGAAGTTTAGTCATCATGGGGAAATATAAAGTAAAGGTAATTCGTTGTGTGATACTACACAAACCTTCCTTCCATTCTTATCAACTCAACTTACATGTGTTTTTTTTTTATTTTATTTTAGGTGGGTATTATTGGTGGCTCAGGTCTTAATGATCCAGACATCTTGGAGGGTCGAGTTGAACATAAGATATCTACACCATTTGGGGAACCTTCCGACTGCCTGATTGAAGGCAAAATAAGCGGAGTGAACTGCGTCTTATTGGCAAGGTATTGTAGTTTTCCAGGGTAAATTTTGCTTTTCATTGAGTAATAAACTTTTTTTTTTGTCTAACATCTTGTATTGCCTTTTAGACATGGACGCAAACATGACATTATGCCAAGCAAGGTAAATTATAGAGCTAATATTTGGGCACTGAAAACTCTTGGTTGCACTCATGTTATAGCATCAACTGCAACTGGTTCTTTACAAGAAGACATAGCTCCAGGTGATCTTGTCCTTCTTGACAGCTTTGTTGACAGGTACAACATAAGAATTTTGTCAGCTTATCTTTTTTCTAGACCTGATTTTGTTTTTATTCAATGCTAACATATTTTATTTAACTTTTTTTTGTGCAGAACTAAGTCTCGTGAAGCTACCTTCTTCGATAACAGTTACAGTGAATTGATGGGTGTTTGCCATGTTCCCATGGATCCTGCCTTTTGTCCTGAAACTCGTCAATTGTTTTTAGAAGCAGCAAGTAAATTAGGTCTAAAAATGCGTCCCACAGGCACTTGTGTCACAATTGAAGGACCCCGCTTTTCCAGCAAAGCAGAGAGTCTTTTGTACAAAAGTTGGGGTATTCAGCTCGTAAACATGACCATGGTTCCAGAGGTTTGTTCTTAATTTGAACCTACTACACGCTACCTTACTAATCCTTGCCAAGATTACCTGATTGAACTAATTTTAATGTCGTGTAGGTATGTCTTGCAAGAGAAGCAGGGCTCTGTTATGCTGCAGTTGCAATGGCGACAGACTACGATTGTTGGCGTGACAAAGAGGGGAGCGTCTGTGTTGGTGAAGTACTTGCAACTTTCAAACAAAATGTTGCAAAGGTAACTAAGCTCTTTCGGGAAGTAGTACCAATGATAGGAGCTCATGAATGGGATACAACTATTGATGATTTGAAGGTGAGCTTATTTTGTTCCTGTAAAATTATTTGAGGATAGAATCTATTATGTATATTTAAAAAATTAATAATAATAATCTTGGCTTTAATTTCAGAGCCTTGTCTCAAGCGGATTTATGTCAGCACCACAAAAATAGGGATACTTGACATGCGATTGTTGGACATTTTGTTATGTGCTTCAGGCTTCAACTTTGAATCTATTAAACAAATTTATTCAAGAATATGAACACACTGCTTCTATTTTGTTTTTCCTTAGATTGGAATCATTTATTCTCCACAAGTTGTAATATTTCTTTTATAAAAGTTTAGTTTCTTATTTCTTTATCCACAGTTAAATGTTTATATACAGATAGTAATTTTGCTTCAATTGTAAAATGGATTGTATGTTACCCAATGGGCCCGAGTTTGCTTCTCATGGCTTTTATGAGAGGTGAAGAGAGATTTGAACACTTCTGATGCTCTTGGATCAGCAGCCACTTGGTAGGATTCTCTAGACTTCTTGAATGCTGGGTCATTCATTTTGTCTGTAGCTGCACGCTTATCTCCTGCAACAAGAGAGAAATTGAATGGAAGAACACTGAAACAGAAGTTCAAACCCTCATGATTTAGGTTGGATGTGACTTACCTGGATTTGACTTGAAACTACCTCCAACAAGGAGTTTGGATGAGCTAGCAGCACTTGGTGTTAGCTTCGATTTGGAAGGTAGCTTTACAGTTTCATTCTGAGGAACTTGTGGAAGTGCGACATCAGAAACTGTCTCAACAGAGACTGTAGTAGCACTCGACTCTACCGATACCAATTGTTCGGATGCAGTTTTGCTCCTCTTTTTTGCCTCAGACTTAGCCTTTTTATCAGCTTTTAACCGAGCTTGTCTAGCTTCCATGCGCACACGGAGACCATCAATTTCTTCATCAGACCCATTAAGGATGACTATGTCTTCCTCCTTAAAAGGTGTCTGACACTGTCAAAAAATATTTTATTTTAAATATCATTCCATGTTCCCCTCTACTGTGCATAATACAATAACTGTAAACTTACTTTCAGGCAACTCCTTTCCTTAATTTCTTTCATGGCCCGTTCAGCAAAAACACAGCCACAAGTCCACAAAAAGACAAACCGGAATCTGCCAGTCACTTCAAGACCAGTAAGAGGGCAAATGTAGGGAGAAGTGGCTCGATCAACATAGCCAGCCTTCTCAGCACCAGCCTTAAAAGAAGGGTTTGGTGTGAGGCGTAGGTCACGCACATCCTGAGAGTCGGGGAAAGATTAGCAACTTGAAAGAGAAATAGGATTATGAAAACATTACCACAATTTGTGCACCTTAATGCTTTTAATATGACTTGCTGAGGGTGGAAGTATGCTGCGATCTAGTAACGCTTCAATAACAGCCTGCTTTTTATAGAGTCTACCGAGACCGCAGGCTGTTATAGGTTCTTCTAGAGGTTCTTGTGTAATATTGCAGTGGCGCCACCGAAATGAAAGCTCAGAATCTTTATCTTTCTGAAATCACAATTATCACATAGGGATACAGTAGTAGCACACCTCAACGCAATACGTCAAAACCCTTGAAGCTCCTAACCTTTTCTTTTTTCTTCTTCATTCGCACCAACTCGTCTCTTCGAGGGATGGTACCACCATCATTTCCCATGGTGAAATCTTGTTACTGAGTCAGAGAAGGGACGAAAAATTTACTGGCAAATGCGCAAGAACAGTTTCCCCTCGTTTACAAATGTTGACAACTATTAGGCTGTTTGTTTGAACAGACGAACAGACACAATGATCCACGACTCCACGATCAATAGCTAGCTTCGCCGCTTCGCCAAGGACACAGGCTTCGTGCTTCGGCTCGGGCGGACTCGGGCAACAGGATGCGACGGAACACAACTGTCACAAAGACGTTCATAGCAGAAACCACCAAGGACTCCCTATGCCCGATGTGGGCGTAAAGAATCGTATTTTATGTTAGCTTTTCTCGCTTCCTTCTGTTTTATTGCCTTATCATCATGCTGATTTGTAAAAAGAATGTTTTTGTTGAAATAGTGATTGTCGTAGAATGACTTCGTTCATCTTGTCAAATCTGTGCGATGGACTAACATGACAACCTGTTGGTGTTTATATTGAACGTCATTTACTGACTATAATTTTAAAATCTTCAGTGAGTATTTTATTTGACAACCTTAGCATCCTTAGATCTTCGAAATCCATCTTTTTATCTTTTTAATTACGATGAATCTTATTGGTAGCTGAGAAACGACAGCTCAAACTTTATATAACCTGCACTAAATTAGTCTGCTTAGACTAATTTAATTCAAAATAGAATATTGCTTTGTTTCTGTTTCTACCCGATGTTTCATTTTTTATTTTCAGAGCCAAGCATGAGTCAAGCTTTGTTGTGGCAAGATGACCACCTTGTGGACCTGAAATGTGAAGAAACATTAGTCACAAGTGGGATCAGCAATTTTTGTGTGGTAGAGTCTTTTGTGTGTGTTACATCTAAGGAAGATAATACTCTACACATTGGTCGAGTTGAGGCGCTTCAAGAGAAGAATTCTGTTACTTTAATTCCTAGCAATATTCATGCTATTGACATAGCGTGTACTGCTGACAAGAAACTTTTATATGTGTCTCCTGATGGTCGCGTGTATTCTACTAATCCAACAAGTTTGGATGTCAGGGAAGAGATTATCTTAGAAGAGGACGCGTCATGTTGTATACACGGACACAGCACTCCAAGAAAAAGAGTAAGAGTAAAGTCTATCAGCACATCGAAGGAAGGAATCCTCTTTGTTACTCAAAATGGACATCTCTGGGCACTGGGAAGTCATCCTCACTTGGATGTACAGGCAAATGATGGTTTGAAACGTGTCAACTATTTTCAAGGACGATTTGTTGCTGCTGTTTCCTGTGGATCAAATTTTTCTGTGGCTCTTGTTCAACGCAAGATTGTGAAAAATGTTGCCATCAGTAATACAACTAGTAGTCTCAACGAAGACAGTGAGGATGTGTTTGTCTATGACTGTTCCCGGTGCATCAGTGAAAGTAGCACTTCACTTTTATCACATCATTCCATGTCTGATATATGCCCTCTGGGCCTCCCTCTTCGCAAAACAAGTCTTGATCATAGTACATCTTCTACTACTAGCAAAGGAAATTGTGATAGGAAGAGTATTGATGGCACTACATCTCCATCTACGGAGGATGAAGTGCTCCATCAGTGTCATACATGTACCACTAACAGTGATAAAAGTGATGTTTCTTCTCCTAAGACAACACTAGAAGCAGACAAATCTTTCATGTCTGAAAAAGATGTTGGATCAAGGGACAAGGATAGTGAAAGTGAGCCAGATGGTGAAAAGAAGAATGGCATCTTTCTGAATACAGACGTGGCTAGGCAATTTTTGACCAGACAGTTGTCCTGGGTTTCTAGCTATGGAAATGCAGGGGAGGAGTTCCTTGCAGAATACACAGAAGGAACAACTCGAATAGTGAGGTAAATCCCTATCTGCTATCTTAGATATTTGTGTGTTAAATTGCTCTTATAGGAATTTTTCTTACAAATTGTGCAGGCAAAACGTTTCTAATGTAGCAAACCTAGTTTATGAAGGAGTGCGTACTGTTGGTGGTAAGGTTGCTACACTGTCCAGGCATGTTAGTGGTGGCTCTGACAGTTGCACAGGTAATGAAGATTCTTTTGAAGAGCTAAGCTTAGAAGCATTACCAGCTGCGTCTTTTCACAGGTATTGTGTAGTAGAAAAGAGAAAACCCTTTTTGAAGATGTTTAACATATTGTTGTCAGAGTCCAATAATTTTTGCCTTTCTTATTCAGATTTGAAGACTTTCTAGCATCCTCAAGTGCTGGGACTAGTGATCATGAAGGTGATGGTGGTGCTGATAAGTTTGACCCATCAATATGGTGTGAGATGGGAGCAAACCTGCTTGGTGCTGAATTGTACAGTTGGGGTTCTGTATGTCATGGTCAATTGGGCATAGGCGATTGTATTAAAAGGGAAAGACCAACTCTCATCACACGTCTGTCCGGCACTGGGGTAGACAAAAATTTTGCAGGCTTGCACTGATATTTATCTTTATTTTGATGTAAGATTAATTTAAATTCATGTCTCAATTCACCACAGGTTCGGAAAGTAAAATGTGGATCTAGCCATGCAATAGCTTTGACTCTTGATGGTCGCATGTTTGCCTGGGGTGCTAACAACTGCAGTCAAGTAGATTGGCAGAATAATACGAGTTTAAGTTCTCCCTGCCAAGTTCTTTGCGGATCTGTTGGCACAATTAATGACCGCACATGGGATATTGCTTGTGGGGATAAACATACTCTTATGCTCACACATGGAGGTGATGTAATTTTCTTTGGCAAACACAGGTAAGCACTGACAAATTTTTTACTCACGACCTAAGGATAATTTTGCCAACACAGCAATAGGTTCTTTATCATGTTTAAGCAATGGCAATTTTTGTGTTTTCTATAAATTCTAGGAAAGGACAATCAGGAGTTGGACCAGTGAACCTGTCCATACCTCAACCTCTTTCACTAGAGGAAGGTGTTGTTGCTCAGAAAAATTTGTATGCAAATGGTCCATTTTCTTGGTGCTCAGTTTTTTCCGAACCTGCTTCACCTGCTGTCCAAGATCTTGCCTTGGAACAGGCTTTTTTGGAAGAATGCCTTCTTGTGCACACAAACCTTGTGCGGCCATTTCTCAAGAGAGTGGGTGCTGGTCAGTAGATTTGTTCTGCATCCTTTATGTGCATTAGGTTTCCAATAAATTATGCCTTTTTATGTCTGCATGCTCTTTTTCCTTAGGTGGCTCTGCAGATGAGCAGTATATGTATGGGATCTTATGTCAACGATATTCTGATGTTGTAAGTTTCACCGCATTAAATACCCATTCTTTATGGGACTTTGCAAGGAATGGTGCAGATGCATGTAATGTTGCAATGGTTCGAAATGCAGATGAGCATATTCATGTATTTAAGTACGTTTCATCATTATTCTTTCGATTATTTCTGCTTTTCGTTAAACTAATTTGCGTTTTCTGTTTTTCTCCAACCCAGAAAATATTTGGAAGCTGCCTGTAATGTGCTGTCCGTTGGAGGATTTTTGTTCATGTCAAATGTAGTTGAAACACCTCCAAGGATCATTGAGTTGTTTGCTGACCGCCTTCCTCCTATAGGTCCGCTAAAGAAGGGCATGAAAAGAAATGTGCATGAAGCTACCTTCTCATGTGCACTTCTTCACCCCTTAACTCGATTAAATGTTTACAAATGCATTCTTCAAAGCTTGATGCGCTGTAACAATAGTTCACTGAGCAGTGGATCTGAGGAACTGAAAAAAATGCAGGTAAGACCACTCCCGCTCTTATCTCCCTTCTTTCTTTTCTAATGAAATTCTCTACAATGCAAGTATGTGTATTTCTCTGAACTCAAATTTTTCAATCATGTGAATGCTATTGGCAGTGGGCTTTCAGTAAGTGGGAGGCATTGTGTGAAGAATCAGAAAAAAGACGCCGTGAGGCAGATTTTACCCGACGATTTTGGGAAAATGCAGGAAGACTAGTAGACAGTATCCGCATTCCTGTAAGAAGGCTAGTGCGAGAGTCACGAGCTCATCCAATTCAAGTTGCTAACTCAGGACGGTTTTCATCTCACTGGATTGTCTTGTTTAGTGACATATTGGTCCATGTAGCTGGGTCGGTTCATACTGTTCACCCGTTGTGTACAATTTGGGTAGAATCTATACCTGATGAAGAAAATGATCAGGTGAGACAATTAACTAAAGTACATTTTAATTCTCTGATTAGCTATGCATCAATTTTTGATTATCCATATTTCCCCCCCTTTGTTCAGCACGGTCTCATAATAACAATGCCTGAGGAGACTCTCCATCTTCAGACAACAACGTCTCAGGAGAAAGTTGAATGGCTCCAGGCACTGCAGGCCACTATTCGGTTTTGTGTGAGCAAGCCTCATTCTCAGATGGGTTCTCTTGCAGCCCGCCATGCAACTTACATCTTTACTAAAGGACACCTAAAAGATGCTAAGTACATAGGTATATATGAATGTATTTCTTCATTTTATCAGTGTTGTATGTATGAATTTGTTTAGTATTTCTAGTTTTTTATAGGACGGTGGCTGAATGGGAAGATGCAGGGTTGGGGTCACCTAGAATGGCCTGATGGGAAAACTTATGTTGGCCAGTTCCTCAATAATCAGCAGCATGGTTATGGCAGACTTGATGCTCCAAATGGAGATCAATTTGAAGGACAATGGCGAGATGGATACCAAAATGGACGCGGTATTTTAAAGTGAGCTTTTGTGTACAGCACAAAATTGAATTTCGTTGATGTTCATGAATAATTATTTCATGACCCTTGCCTCTAGGTGTGAAGGTGGAGATGTTTATGATGGGTTTTTCAAAGATGGATTACCTCATGGTCATGGAACACGTAGAGAAGGTCATTTCACAGCCAATGTTGCCTCATTATATATTGGAGAGTGGGCAAATGGAGTAAAGCAAGGGTATGGTGTAATGGACAACATTAATACAGGTAAGTAGCCTATTTCTGTACAACAATTACCAAAGAAGTATCCATGTTTAATTTCTTCAATTTTATAAAGGAGAGAAATATCTTGGTTGTTGGAGTAACAATTTGAAGCATGGCTGTGGTCTTATTGTTACTCTTGATGGCATTTATTATGAAGGCGTATTCATGCAAGACACTTTAACTGTAAGTCAAACCAGATGGTATTTGAGTTCATATTATGTACATCTGCATGCTAAATGTGAATTTCTATAATTTTTAGGGTCATGGTGTCATGGTATTTGAAGACGGTACACATTATGAGGGAGAGTTCAAGTCTGCAGGATGTTTCAATGGCAAGGGAACTCTAACTTTGAACACAGGAGATCGCCTGGAGGGGTCTCATCAAGGGATGTGGAATGAAGGAATCAAGTTTTCCGGGACATTATTTAAGAATTCTTGCATATCAAGTTCTTCTCCTCTAGCACCTGATAGGGCTGAGTCTAAACCAAAGTAAAATTTGAAAAACCTACAGATCTTTTCTTAATTACAGTACATATGAAGTGTCTACAACACTCTTCTTTTGTCTCTGCTCTCTATTTTTCCAGTTCGTTTGGAAAGTTGTGTGTGTCACCAAATCAGAAATGGAAGTCTATATTTCGTCAATGCTTAACTCCTCTGGCTGTGCCATCATCTATCATAGAAGCAATTTCATGCGGTTCCAAATCTGTGATCAAATCTGATGTGGAAAGCAATGGTATTTCCATTCCTCCATTAGATCTTCAGAGACTTTGGGCTAGTGTAGCAGTTGCAATCAACACATCTCTTCAAGAATCAGCAGCAGCCGCCCGATCACAAAATAAAGTGAGAAGTCAAGATTCTCTAAAAGATTTAGACACTATTCCACAGTGGGGAAGAGACCAGCTTGATAAAAATTCTTATACGAAAATGCATCATTATCTTGTAAAGGTAACATCACAAATCACACACATGCCAAGTCTTACATGGTTTTGTGTCTGTGTAACTGTCTTGATACTTTTACTGAAAGTTGTGTCAAGCTTGAAAGTTTATCTTTTTTCTAGGCATTTGAAAGTTCTCATCATCCCTTGGGTATGCTTCTTGCTGAGCTTACCACAGCATACACTGCCACCTATGGTGGAGTGCGAGTTCACCCTCTACTATTGAGTCACGCTGTTGCTGAACTCCATTCAATAGTGGCACGAGTTTATGAAGTTGTGAGATTACTATTTCCAGCACTGCCCCAATATGGCCAAGAATTCCTTCTTAGTTCATCACCTGAAAAAAATGATACAGAATCTGATGTGGACAGGCAGCCTGAGGAGGGGTTAGTGTTGTAGTAGATTTATGAATCTATGTATACATAATTTTTTTCGAATGCAAAACTTAATTGTATTTTATTGTTATTGTTCAAATTTTTAGCGAGGTAGTTAGTGCTTCAGCTTTACTGCATCCTTTTGTCCTTCCAAGAGTTCATGCTGCCTTATTTGTACTTTATGCATTGCATAATAAAGCAGAGGATGATGCTTATTGGAAACGTCTTCTGAAGTGGAACAAACAACCTGACATGACTCTACTTGCATTTCTTGGAATTGATCAGTCAGTATTTGTTGCTTTTTTTAAACCTTTTTAAAATGTGCATACTTGTTAAGGATGTAATTGACTTGGAGTACCTCTATGTCCCCATTACAGGAAGTTTTGGATACATTACTCAAGTGAACCAAGCACCCTCAGCACTAGTAAAGGACCAAAGCCTCCATTTTCGCCATCAAGAGAACAATTATTCACAGAAGCTGTTGAAACATTGCAACAGCTTAAAACAACATTTTCTCCATTGGAAAAGTTACTTGTTATCCGAAGCACTTTTGAACAACTTACGCAGGTATATAAATCACTTTACCTTTATTTTCATTGCCTTTGACTCATAGGGCTATGAATTATGATTAATTTTATAAATATCTCAATTTTTGATTAAATGAACAGGCTGTGAAACGGGAAGTTGGAACAGAATATCTGTGGACTATGGATGAACTGTTCCCAGTATTTCATTTTGTAGTGGTACGTTCCCGTATTCTTCAACTGGGTTCAGAAATTCACTTTATTGAGGATTTTATGGAACGCCATCTTCAAAATGGAGAGTTGGGAATAATGTTCACAACACTGAAAGTAAGAGATAATAGCAACTTTCTACTCATTTAGACCCTACTGAATTTTTTGATGAATACTGTACTATAATACTAAAAACATGATATTTTTACAGGCATGTTACTATCAAATACTCCAGGAAAAAATAAGTTTGAGTAGCTGAAACCAACTCGAAATCGATCCCTTTATTGTATTGATACAGTACTAGAATGTCTAAAGCTACATATATTGTGGTCTAGAAAATTAAATTTCATGTACGATTGGGTCCAATATGAACATTCTGCTGTGACAGTTAAGATTGCTCTGCACAGTTTGGACCCTCTCTAGACTTTTATCTCTACTCTATAACTATGATTGTGATGAAATGTCATCATATGAACCCCGCAATTTAGGGTTCCAAACGATTCTTCAAAAGAAATGTCCTTCAATTATTTTTTTTCTTATCTTTTTTTAAAAGATCTCTTTGTACACCAATTAAGATTGATTAAATTATTTTTCTCTCACTATTTAATAGAGCAGAGAAAAAGTGAATTTTTAGAAAGATATCAAAACTGAACTTTTATTAGGGTTTAAAAAAATATTTTATGATACACATTATTGTGGGATGATATTATACACATTTTCAAAAACAATAAGCCTGTGATTTACCCTGTTGTTAATGGTCGATGAAGTCTTGTGAGACAAGTCACCTCACGGTGAGGGGCTTCAGCTGAGGCAGCTTGCTTCAGATGTTTTCAGCCAATCAAAGTCCTCAAAAGCCTCTGAGGCGAGTTGCCTCATCGTGAGGCGGGCGACTCGCTTCACGAGACTAGATTCACCACAAGTGCTACTGGTCAATCTACTCATATTCTATACATACATAGAAGTATGTGTGTTTGTGGTTTTGAAAAAGTTTTGATTATTAACATATTATTTTTGAGAAGAGATTGTTTACCTTTAGAGTTTCTATAGCATTGCTCAATGATATTTTTCTGCATGAAATGTGTTTGCTTGATAAAAAGTGATGCTATTGTACGCCTCAATTTTATTTAAGTGACCTTTTATTGTTATGGTATATTATATCAACTAGAGAGCAATAATGGTGAATGATAATGCGTGGTAAGTGACACTGTAACACTAACTGTGAAACCTGTGGCCTCCCCTGAAACAGTGCCAAAATTTGGCATCCAATTAGGACATAACTTTGGAGTTTTGGAAAAAAAACATTAAAAATTTGTATTCTAAGACATTTTCTTGACATTCACAGTATTAGAATTTTGCATCTGTGGAATTTGTGACTTTCTTCTTTAGCCAATCTTATATATTTTGGTAACGTGATTTGCTGATATTTCAGACAGTTTATTTAAGAATTGACAGTGCTTCTGTGTACTTTGTGACTTTCCTCTTCAGCCAATCTAATATATTTTGGTAAAGTTATTTGCTGTTATTTCGTACAGTGTATTGAAGCCTTTAAAGTATTTCTCAAAGTTTTGCATTTAAAGAAATCAAAATTTATTTTTAAAGGAGAAGAAAGCAATTAATTCTTATACTTTAAGTCTCGGATGGATTGAAAGTAGTGCATGCCGAACATAATGTGAATTTCATTATTTATTTTTGATTGAATTGTAGCAGACATGTTGTTCTTTTACTTGTCTATGTTGTGATTCATGCTCACATTAGATGTTGTTGACCATGATATCAAAGCTTTTTAAGTTATCCAAAGTTTTGACCTTGAAGCTCCTTCGATTCGGTATCCATAATATTGATGATTTATGCCTTGCTCAATCTGTGGAAGCCATGATGTAATACCATGATATAATTTTCTTAAGTAACCATACTTTTGTGTTCTATTATGTACAAGGACTGCTGCTGGTTGTTTTTTTTGTTTTGTTTTTTTGTCATTTGGTTGTCTTTGTTTTAGACAAGTGTATTTTGTACACTAACTCCCACGATCAGTTTGGGGTATATTCTAGTCTTTACTAGTTTGTGTGATCTCATCAATGAGTTTTGTTAAGGAAAGTCTTATGCATGTAATTCCATTTTTAGATATAAGGAATCATTTAAAATTTGTATTTCTCATTCTGATGTCTAATGTACCTAATTGACAGTTTTAACTTCTAAGACTAAGATAAATAATTTTCAAACTTAAAGAAGGTAAAAAGTTATAAATGAATTTAAGCAGAGGCCTGCATCCCTCTCATTTGAAAAGGGTGAGATGGGGATAGGTGCAAGGCGCGTTACCTGGCCGGCAGCGGACTGTCTTTGTGCGCTTTCTTCCCCTCCGGTCACCTCTCGGACCCGACAACCCGACCCATGCAGGTCTATTCCTTAGCCAGTAAGCACACCAAATGAAGAGGAGTAAGGGATGTGGCAAAATAAACCTTAGGTATATTTCTTTTTGTAAATACGTATTGTACAACAGTCGTTAGCCATATCTCCCCTTCCATGACATTGTGATAGTTTCTCAAGTCAATGAGTTAGTCATATGTGATCATCCAAATACTCAAAAATATGAAAATGTATTTCTCTGTTCAATATTTTATTTAAAAATATGCTTTACCTTTATGCTGATGGGAAATTATACAGTATACCAGCTAAGTATGGCAAAAGTCTCATTTTTCTTCCTATTTAAGCTAAAGGAGGAAGTCTTGAATACTTTCCCTCATATTCTCAAGGCTTCTTCTTGTTCGAACCTTGTGCAATATACTTTCAGGAAGGCTTGAAGTATTTTCCTAAAAATCATAATTGCTATTTTCAAACCAAATCAAACTAATCGTGAACTACAATATCATTAACAATATCAAGTTCATTTCCTTACCATATCATGTATAATGAGCCGACAACCATAACAGCACAATTTCTCCACGTCAGGGAAAGATAAACGTTGCACATCTTTGTGACAACCACATTGTACATCTGAATCTGAACAGCAAGATGTAGATGAACTACAAAGCAGTGAATCTGCTTGATTAGAAAGAATACCTAATTTAGAAATAATCAAGAGAGAAACATCCTTAGTGCAAAAAGAGTTAATGGGAAGACTTCAAAATTATATCTTACCTTTTGAGGTATCTGGCAGCTGTGACAGTGTCTTGTTATCAAAACCAGCAGGACCAAGAGATGAAATTAGCCGTGAAAAGTCTGTGGCTTGTACTGAAGAACATGCAGCAACACTAACATCCAGCTTCATCTAAAATTGGAGGCAACAAATTTATAGGATTTCTAGGTCCTAGTTATTTCAACTCAATGAGCAGAATAGAATTTACCTGACAAATTATACAAAGATTATCCTCTGTCTCACAGGTATTAGTAGTGTTTGTAGATCCCAACTTTTCTCCTGTACGGAACACAGTAGATACAGTAGATGGAAAATTTTCCATCAATTCCATCACAAATTGTTTAGACATATTGTGAATGCTGCTGTCTGAAGATGCCTATGAGAGAAGAAATGGTGCACAATTACGTAACTCAATGCCGAGAGACATTTATTTACGATTACTGAGAACATTGAACTGACCTTTGTGCAAAGAGAAGGAATATAAATGCTTTCTAGTTCGTGAAACACTGAATAATAAGTGACTTCCTTGCTAGAAAGCTCAAGCAGAGGTCGAATTATCTTAACACTTGCATCCCTCGGATCACAAAATGACTGGAAAAAAGGGCAGGTTTAGAGAAAATTTGAACCATAATATAACTGCAAAAAAACAACAAAAAACAGTAAATTAGTGACTTTTACCACATCATGGTGCATTTGAGATCCTCTTCCTAGAGAAACGTCAGTCAATATGTGAATTGCCAAGTCAGTAGATGTGTTTGCAGTAAAAACTTTACAACAGTCTAATTCTTTTGCTGATTGCAAGAATATCTTTCTTCTAAAATTGGGATTAGGGACATTAGATAATAATATAAATAAAATTATTCCAATAGGCAAATTTCCGTCTTGAAATAAATTGTCTTACCGTAGTTGTCTTAACAAGTCTTCCCTGGCTGTGAGGCTTTTCACATTGAGAAAAAGATTTTTAAGCTCTTCTTCAGAATTTTCCTTAATTTTTAATGTACTGTCCTTCACCAATGGAAAACACTTTGAACCAGTTTCTTCAAAAATGCTAGCAAGAGTTGTATAATAAGACTTAAACCCATACTGCTCAATAATGCCTGAAATTGCTTGTAAGTTAGCTGTCCTATCTTCGAGGGAAGTTCCTAAGATTGCCCCTTCTGTAAGCACAAAAAGAATTAAGCTGCATGTTTGCGACCCTACTGAACAATACAGAACGACTTTTTAAGAAGATGTGATAATACCATCAATATACAAAACTTGCACTTTGAAGAGGAACCGTTTGTGACTTTGTTCTGAAAGACCAGCATGTAGCAAGTGAAGCATTGCATTAGATTTACCACTCCCAGAAAATGCAGCAAGTACGACATCAGATGGTTTCATCATCTTGGACTTTCCGAGTGTGGAACGAAACTTGTGATTGACATGTGCTAGGAAGCAATTCCTGTCAAAGATGTATTTACACAGATTAATTTCAATTCACTTGCTATATTATAATTGTAAAAGAAAATGTAGTAGAGTAACAGAAAACTACCTGCAATATGCATGTTTGATCTGGAGAATTTGGATCACTGGCTTCTCTGTCGAACATTTCTGACACACTTCTGTCCACCTGAGGAAGCCAAAACCAACTAATTAAAAACCAGTGATGATAAAAAAGACAGATAGAGGCAAAATGATAAAATATTAAACATGACTCACGTTAGCTTTGTTTTCCCTTCCATAAGACTCTGAGAGCCATCCTCCTCATCATTGCGACTGCACATTGTACTTATTACACTGACGTGCGACAAATGTACGACTTTCAAGAATAACTGGATAGAGTGCTTCTACTTCGGCTCCGTGTGCTCTCAATAAATTCTGAGTTTCGCGTCCTTCTTGTTTGCCCACGCTGAAGAGAGGTTAGCTCGGAGTCGGAGCGTGTCGTGGTTACATACGGTTGGTGGTGGGGGTAATGAATGGGTTGATTCAACGGCCAATGATTGACACTAGCCGTTTGAAATATTCACATTGTCTTGTCTCATCTTGTAATGGACGTTGTTACAGTTGGGGAATGCCATGCCATTGTGCCTTGGTTTAGATTTTATACCATGATGTGTGTTCAGGAATAAATAACTTCAAGAATTGTATAGCAACAAAAAAAACATACATTTATTTGCTAAAATATTGCACATATCCGTCATATGTACGTTTTAGGCAGTACAATTTGGGAATTATCTAACATTAATTTAATAACAGCAACAAAGTTAAGTTTAACAGATCAGTCAAACATTACAACTACATACAAACTTGAAAATAGTTAAACGTATACATCAATCCCCGTGATTCTTTTCAGGAAACACATCGAACACCTGGGTAATGATTTCAGTTATATTACAAACAAACAACACAGCTCAGAATTAAAGTTCTTTACTCAGAAATTCAGAATTAGTTTAAAAGCTTCTCCCAAATAACTGCTCAGCATACAGATTTGACGTTTTTTATAAAAGTAGACCAAAATTATTGCATACTTTGAATGTAAGAGGATATAAAAATTTATCTAGTTCCAGACAGTAATTCCACTTACACTACTAATATTTAACCAATTTAACAAGGATTAAACAAAATACTACAGTAAAATTACAACCTTTTGAAAAATATACAATCAGTACACATTTAAAACCTTTCAAAAAATATAAAGAAGAGTGTATATTATGCTTGAACAATAACTGTAGATGCTTGTACTTCCAGATTCCAACATGGAATGTGAAATAAAGTTAGACATAGTGGCTATAAATGAATCATAAATTGCATATGCCTAACTAAATTTCAAATTGAGAAAGATTACGCAAAATTCACCAAGTGACATACATAAGGTGCTCTGGTTTTCTTGGGTAGACAACCCATTCTAGTCCGAGTGAACTGTACAAGATGAATGAGGAAGGAGTAGTACTGGCCAACCTAACAAAAGAGATTTTATGTGTCACCTAGTATACAAATAATTTAAAATTATTATGGGAAAAGAAATCCGACACAGATTCAACAAGCCACAAAACTTTTATCTGTGACGTCAAGGTCTAAACGTCAGTTTTATGTTAAATTACATATTGTTAATCTTTTGGGAGAAAGTTTTACTGGCGTGAAAAAGACGACATCATGCAAAAGTTAATGTTAAAGATTAATTAACGAGGATCAAGGGTTGTGTTATAAATATGAATGTAATGAACTCTACTAGCCTCGATAGGTCTGCTGAGATCGTCTTTGGAATGAGGGAAATTTGAATCCACCATGAACCGGTTTGAATTGAGCATTTTAGGTATTAACAACTGACATGAAGATCCTGGAAAATTCCTGTTACACAAGCATTGGCTACATTGGATTCAATACTGAAAATTGAAATACAGGTGAGAAATGACAAAAGTTCAAAATACAATTTCTGATTATCCAAAAATAGATATAATTTTCCAAAACTACATTTTCTGGCTTAATATCACATACACATTTGATCACAACTGTCTCACACAAAAATACCCAGGAACATTGAACAACACAAGAGCAGGTGCTGTGATGGTGTGTTTTATACCAAGTGTAAAAAGTGGCTATAGACTACAGAAAATAAATTTACCCCGGTAATTTGAATCAGGCAAATGTATAAATGCATATATATTCAACTAATAGCCCAACATTAATTTTTTTTGAACAAACGAGATCAATAAAGTAGGTGCTGTATGCAAGAAAATAAAGATTTATTGTGACATGTGATTAATATCACAAAATTACTTATTGTATAAATAAATGCAAAGCAACACTAAAAGCAGCACAAACTAAAATGTTAGAGCAGTTTGCTGGGGGAGCTGCATCACATGAAAACAAACTCAAGTGGCATTCAATTATAACACATGAATTAAAGACTTAGACAAGTGAAAACCCAAGATTTTGTTGAATAGCCTGAAGCAATTTATAGCGTAGTTTTTCTTTTGTCCCATATCTTGGCAAATCTAGAAGGTTGAAACAAGTGTGTGCTACTGGTAGGTATTTGTCGTCAGAGGTTGGCTGAAAAATTATTTTGATTGCTTTCATACCCTGGAGAGGAATGCGATCAGTTCCCGTTAAGAACATGAGGAACTTTTTCTTTTCAGCTAATGGCAGTTCCATGAAAACCTCCCAAAAGAGGCGAATAGTGGGGTCATCTTCTTTGTAGCCATTTTTGTACTGAGCATGACGCTGTAGCTCTTCCCAATCGTAATTTTCATTGCCTATAACAACTGCCATCAATTCTGCAGCATGGAAAAGTTCCAAGACACGTCCACCGCATACTTTCAAAAATCCTTGGGAGAAAGCCTGTGAAAAAGAGAGCAGATATTAAATTTCAAACATAATATACCGGTTGAACAGTTCAACTTAATTTCAAAGAGACAAGATAAAAAATAACAAGTACCTTAAAATGCTTTTCGACCATTTTATTTAGAAGCATGTCTACATAGAGGTCCACATACTCAGTCTTGTTATGAAGGTTGACAGGTATGTCAGCACCACCAGGTTTTAATGGAAATAATTTCACTTCGCCAAATACTTCTGTGGACATCTGAAAAGACAATCCAAATACTTCCTCAAAGTCATCATCTTTGTAGTCCAAAATGTCTTGAAGACTCTTTGCCATAGTGGGTGATAAGTCATTTATATCCTGTAAGGTAACAGGTTCATTTAACAATTTCTTATAGAGGGCTAAGGGAAAAGGCAAATTGATGATGGTGAAGTTGTATATGGCAAGACCACACAGAAGTCCAATGAGATAATACATCATTTCATGTTCAAATGTAACTTCACTGAACCAAATGGCATTTGTTTCTTCATATGATTTGAACATTCCATATGCTGGGTCAAGGATTTCCTTCAAAAGCAACATGAAGAATTCTTTTCGAACTCCACCAGCATCTTCAGCTTCTTCTCCACAAAACTTTATTTTCAAGGGTTTCTTCAAATCTTTGCTATCACATTGGTACAGTTCCCTAATAGTATCATCAACTATATTTTCTCTGCTGACATTAAGCACAAGATACTGATTTATACCACCAAGCATGTTCATAAGAAAATCTGTTGTGGCCTCTTGCATTGCTGAATGCATTTGAATCGACTGATCAGTCTCAAGCAATAAAGTTTTAGCTTCAGCATTAAATACAAAAGGATAGTTGCAGAAATGGACTGCACTGGAAGGTGGGAGGGAAGGTGCAAATCTCAATAAAATACTGGGATCAATTTGTGCCACCCACCGCACATAGTCCACTTGGATATCAACAACTTCTTGCAAATCATGTAAGTAAAACGAGTTGTATGGGACTTTTTGGCCAATATCTTTGTTAAGGCGGTTCAATAATGCTAACATTTCAAGGGCACGCATGATTACTTGGCTTACAGTGCTCTCTCTCACAACTGGAAGCCGAATCACATACATGACAACATTTTTATAGATCCGAATGAGGCGTTCAAAGTAATCTGGTGATTGTGCTCCCCACCACATTAATACAATTTTACGAGCTTCATTCTTCAATTCAGATACAGCTTGAGCAAAAGGAACATGGATCTTCTCATAATTTTTGGGATTTTCACATTCATGATACATTGGTAGGGTGAGATATATTCTCAGTGTTTCAACATCAGGAGGAGAACTAACCAGGCTTGGTATAAGTCGTTGGACAATGCATGTCATAATGATATCTTTAATTGTAGGATGCTCAAGCCTTCCAACATTGGAAAAGAATGATTCAGCCTCTTCAATATCGACACCAGGATGTTTGGATGTACAGCAGTAATGCTCATCATTTTTTAATAAGAATGATGCATTAAAACACGCTTGGCTCCCAAACACTGTCTCAAGATAAGAGATGAGCTCCAAATCTACTTGAGAGTCTGCAGCACAATTTTCACATTCTTGAATGAATTTCTGCAACAATGTCAGTATTTGAGTGTTGGGCAAATATTCCCGGAAATCATCTGGTCTGACTTGTTCGTGGGGAAGTGAAACCAGAGCAAAACAGTGATCTCCTCCAGATGATATGCGCTTGATGATACATTCATGGGCTGATTCTACCAATGACACCCCACTAGGGCTAAGCCATGGGCCTATCACAACTTGAGGTGTAGACACGTTTCCAGTGCTTTTATTGCCAAGCTGACCAGCTCCTCCAAGGCCAAAAGCATAGACGCGCCCACGAGATGGAACAAGAGCAAGCGTGTGCCTTCTGCCACATGCCACCTGGGTTACAGTGCTTCCCATAAGTTCTGTAACCTTCCTAGGAAGACATTCATTTGAGTGGGACCCATGCCCAAGTTGCCCATGCATACCAGCACCACAGGTAAAAACACCACCATCGCGAGTCAAAAAGACTGAGAAATCTTCCCCACAGGCAATAAATTTCACTCTTATAGAGCGTAAACTTTTCAGTTGGGCTGGGTATTTTCTGTTGCTACAGTCAGAGAGACCCAACTGGCCACAGGTGTTTTTACCCCATCCGAACACTGCTCCAGACTTGGAGACAGCAAAGCTATGATTAGACCCACAGGCAATAATTGCTATTGGTATGCCTGCTAGTGAGGTAATAAGAGTCGGTTTTCTTTCTTGTTCTGATGTTGTGCCTAAACCGAGCTGACCAAAACGGTTGCAGCCCCAGGAGTACAGTTGGCCATCATTGGTTAAAGCTAAAGAATGGTTCTGACCACAAGCTACTTGAATTACTGTTGACAGAGCTAAATTTTTAACAGTCTTTGCACTCCACTGATCACCAGAGCCTGAGTTGAGACCAAGCTGGCCAAATGAATCGGAGCCCCAACTAAAAAGTTGGCCCCACTTCGTAACAGCGACACTGTGACACCCGCCACAAGCTAGAGCTTGAATTGAGTAATCACTTAGGCTTGTCACTAGCTCAGGACGTGTACGATGCTGCTCTCTACCAAGCTGTCCATGATCGTTGTTACCACAAGAAAGGACTTCACCTTTAGCAGTCAGCATCAAAGTATGGCTATCTCCGCAGACAATATCTTGTACACACTGACTTTCTTGCACAGACAAAGACAATTCTCGAGGACATAATATTTGATTCTCTTCAATTCCTCCTAGACCAAGTTCACCATTGGTTGTGTTACCCCAGCAGTAAACACGTGAAAATTCAACTGGTTTGGTATCCATACTCTCATCTCCTTCCTTAGTTTCTTCTCCATGATCAAGAGACATGGTGATATATCACAAGGAAAAGTCTTCTTAGAATGTTGAAAGGATTTTAGACAAAATGCAGTTCAGATTTTCATGAAAACTTATAAAATTTTCTGAAAGGGAAAACCAAAGAATTAACGGCTTAAATAAATAGTAACGGACACAAATCTTTCAGTGAAGCCAATGGATGTCTACACTAAAAAAACACAGGAAGGAGAAATGCTTACAGTGCATAACTGCCCGTTCTTTCCGGTAAAAATAGGGACTTGGCCATCCAAATGGGTATGCAAGAAGATCCAAGATAGGTGGTTATGTAGGAAATTACAACATGCAACATACACCTTCTTTAGCAGTGAAATGTCTTTAGGATGTGTTCGCACGACGCAAACACCCTGGAAGAAAACACAGATGTCAACGAACGTTAGTGACATAATTATTCATTCCTCATTTCATTCAATGTTATGACTTGCTGAAACAGCACACTTCAGAAACTGGCATCTTCTAGAAGGTTAGGATCGTGGTAATATACCAAAATCATACCAAAGAATAAGTGATGACGAATGATCAGCTCCCAAGCTTTTCATAATCATCAGGAATATGAGCTAACAAGCTGATCAAGAAGACACTAAATAATTTTCCAATTCGTGAGCATCGATTGTGGTTGTTTTGAAAGACAAGGACAACTCGGCAGTTCTTTTGAACACAAGGCAGCGGGAATCCACTATTTCTATAGTTGGTATCGGACAACCTCGGACAAATGACGTCATTCAGGTCGCGCTGGTTCGCCCCCGACACACACCCACCACAAGTTGACGGGGAAGCCAGGCGAAGCGGTTTCTTTCCAATTCTCACATTTTCACCTTGATACCCTTTAGCTGTCAGTCTTTGGTGTTTACAGTAAGTGAAGGAAACTATTTTCACTCTATCCTGAACTCAGAATTATCGATGAGTTCTTATTAGTTTCTGTCGCTCTACCGTCCTTAAACCCCCTTGTGATTGACACTAGCCATCCACGCTTTAGGTTAGGTATTCGGTCACAATTTCAGAACCCCTGATAAACTGCTGCTCAAAAGATTTTTGCCTGACTTTATGACACCGAAAAATGTTATATTTTATATGTTCTGGATAACTTGCTGCATCTAGTGACGATTACTATGATCATGGTTCTAGTTCAGACTTCAAACTGACAGGTGTCCATTTCCATTAATTGACCAGTCGTTGTGTTTTGCAGATTATGGGTGATACAACTGGCCTGTCAAATGCAGAGGCCAAGGAACTGTGTCATGAGCCGGAGCCAGACACCAAAGTATGAATTTCTGCCTCTGTAAAGATTACTTTAGCTCATTCACTCTAAACTTCTTATGGCATTGTGTTTGTGTTTCAGGATTTTATTATGCAGCAAACTATGTACAGAATCAAAGACCCAAGGCGCTCTTTACCTTTCTACACTAAGGTCCTTGGTATGCGGCTCCTTCAAAAATTGGATTTTCCAGAAATGAAGTTTTCGCTGTATTTTATGGGCTATGAACCAGCTCAAGACATACCAAGTGACCCTGCTGAACGCATCCAATGGACTTTCACACGCAAAGCTACTATTGAACTGACCCAGTAGGTTTATTATTTTAGAAACTTTGTAGAACACATAAAACCCTTAAATTACAGTGTAATCTTACTTTAAAAAATTCTTATTTAAGCAATTGGGGTACTGAAAGTGATCCTGGTGCTGTGTATCACACTGGCAATTCCGAGCCAAAAGGCTTTGGTGAGTTAATTATTTGTTACATATAACTTAAGTTGTGCTTCAAAAATTATCAGTTTTTACTTGCAAATTTATGACCATTGTGTCTCAGGTCATATTGGAATTACTGTTCCAAATGTTGATGAAGCCTGTAAACGATTTGAGGAGCTTGGTGTTGAATTTATCAAGAAACCCAATGATGGTAATGTAAATCTGTAAATCTCTACTAGAGCATCTCAATTATTAATTTTTTATCTTGTTCTCTATTTCTTTATGCCGCTTTGTTTAATTTTACAGGTAAAATGAAAGGCATTGCTTTTATCAAGGACCCTGATGGTTATTGGATTGAAATTTTTGCTGCCACAAGAATGTCTGGGCTAATTTTGACTTAATTAATTAATTGTTCTAGAGGACAATTTGGAGAAACTTAAATATGCATATTCCAATAGAGTAATCTTCCAATTTCATCAGCTTCTAAATTTCAAAATTTACCAACTAATTATACTTTTAATTTTGTATAGCTGTTTTTACTGGTAAGCCAATCAAAGTCTAATGAAATTTGCACGTCTCATCATCAATTTTAAATTTGCATGAATCAATTTATCTGAATTGGTGTTTGATGAGTTGTGAGCATCATATTAGCATGTGTGCCATCTAAAAAGTGTTAATGGACAGTGTTTCTAATATTTGAGAGACTTCTATATTTTTGGTGTAAATAGAATATTTTTTTAAAATTTAGAATCGATTATCTTGATTTCAATTTCCTCGATAGCTGTGCTTCCGCCACCGGTCTCGCGTGTAGCGGGTTGCCTACCGGCGTGCTACCCGCCACCTCCTCATCTCAACTTCCCCCTCCAACGTACACGAGGAACTCGCGACTTCAACCCGCGGGTCGGGACGCACCGTTCTCCATGAACGCCTAGAACGCCTCGTGATTGAATTTACGTAACTCCCATCCAGCCCTAGAGCCAGGCTCGGCCAGGGTCCGACCGGCCCGTCTACTTCGGCTGCCAAGTTACCGCCATTCCTGCTCTAGACCAGGGCATCCGCCAACGATCCTGGAGACGTATGCACGCATGTACGCCGCCCCTTCCTAGCCTGGGCCTGCGGCCTGGGCTGGGCGTGGTTGCGAGGACAGAAGGCATGTACGTACGTATCGTTATCCCGAGCGAGAAGCGTTTGCGAGGAGGAAAGGGAAGGCAGAAGCCGTGTGAGACTTATTGAGGTTGGTTATGGCCAGGGCGCGGGAGGGAGTCTGGGGTCGTTGTCCCGACGCTCCCATTCATATCAAGTTGTTCCGTGTTGTGCCACGCGAGTTCGTTGGCTCGCCAAAGTGTCCACACGGTGTCGGGGGCGCCACTCACGGGCCGCCGCCCCACCCCACTGGTGTTTGGAGAGTGGGCATTCCCTCCCTCGCCGAGTGCTGGGCGTCGCGCTGGGCGTGAAAGAAGGGTAGAGAGAATAGAACGCTATTAAATTCCACATTTATTTGGAAGAAGTCACAGGCTTCTATCCGCACAAACACATCTACTTAATAATCAACTTTTCTATTCAGACAAAATAAATTACTAGTCTTTTGACCTATAGCTTTTAGTATTAGATATTTGGGGTTACTTCTCAAAGCCTCTGTAATTACAAACAGGCCTTTAGTTTTAAATATTCTTTGAAGTACACAAGTTTTGTGCCCCTATACCTATGAATCTTAATTGACAACACATCTAGGTCTTTAAAAGCTAAATCAAGAATGGCATCGGATCAATTCATGGCATTTGTGATAGTAAAACAGTACGATTACCACAAATCATCTTTGGAGAAAATCACATATAAACAATTAAAAACAAAACAGAAAAAATAAATTAGTCAATGGGGTGATAGTATGTTAGCTTAGATTGCACTAAACAAAGTGGAATGTTGGGATGAGTGTAATTTGATGAAACACAAATGAAACAATATCACAGAACAAACAAAAGCAATGACACCATCACTTTCAGATAGATGCATGAGAGAAAACGATTGAAAAATGATGATACATAAATAGCACTTTAGCTGACTTTAGCACAGCTGAAACATATTTCTATTAGACATCTACGTTGCAGGTGAAAGCACAAAAGGCAAAGGAAGAAGAAGATGATGACTCGAGGATGGGGTGAGTGTAGGATGACAGAGCATGGTGGTGGTGAGTTAGGAACTAGTGCTCTGCCTCTGGCGCTGGCTCCCACTCCTGGACCTGCAGCCCGCAGGCGCGCCGACCGGGCCGACTGCTTGCGCTACCTCTCAGCTCCTGGAGTGTTTCTCCTGGTTCGGTTCGCTTCGGCCCCTCGCCTTGACACGGCGTCGTCTGTCAGCTCGGCCCACTACTTGGAGGAGGACAGCGCGGGGAAGAGCAGCGGGTAGGGGTTGCCCTGGTCGGAGGCCTCGCAGTGACAGGCTTGGCAGGGGCCCTCGCCCAGCCCCTCGGCGAGCACCTCGGCGCGGGGGTCCGGGGCGGTGCAGCCCAGCAGCCAGTGGGTGCGCAGGCGGCCCTTGCCCTTCAGCTCCACGAAGCCGCGCTCCTCCATGCGGAAGCTGCCCAGCTTGTCCAGCAGGTGGCGCGCCGCGTCCGACACGTGTATTCTCTGCGCTGTTGGACAAGAACGAGGAGGTCAGGGCAGAGTCCAGGCATAGGCGGGGGCCTGCGCGTGCGAGTGGGCGTCGGGCGAGATACTTACGTTGCCCTGTGGACTCCATGCGCGAGGCGGTGTTGACTGTGTCGCCGAACAGGCAGAGGTGCGGCATCTTCTGGCCGACCACGCCGGCGCACACGGGGCCCGAGTGCACGCCGATGCGCACGGCAAGCTGCTGCTCGGGCCGGTGCTGGATCTGGAAGGTGCGCACCGCGTCCAGGATGGCGAGCGCCATGAGCGCGATCTCCTTGGCGTGCTGGTCGCCGTTGCGTTCGGGCAGCCCGGACACCACCATGTACGCGTCACCGATGGTCTCCACCTGGAACAACAAAGAGCGAACGCGGTGAGTACACGCATGCTGCGGCTGCTTACACCGATTCAAATCGCGCGACTCGGAGGGGATTCGGGGCAGCGGCGGCGCGGCGGGGCGCGGCTCAAGGCGAGTTCGCCGGCCCTTTGCGCAATCCGACGCAACGCAGCACACAAACGGACTACGGCCTAAAGGCCCAGAGGCAGACACGGCCGGCCGGCCCGGCTGCTGCTGCACGAAGTGGTTTGCCTGCTGCCGCGGCTGCCGCGCCGGGGCGTGGCAGGGTACAATACGACTGCATTGCACACTGGCTTCCTAGTCCAGTTCGCCTTGTTTGCCAAACGTGCAGCGCAAGCAAGCAGCGGCATCGAAGTGGCGCCCGCCCCGCCCCGCCCCGCCCATCGCCACACGAGCCTCGCTAGCGCCCCGCCGCCGCTGGTGGTGGTTGGGCCATTCTTTTACGAGTTGACCGCTTCGCCTCACCTCCGCAGGGCTTTACGAGAGATTTCGTTCTCGAAAGGTCCGCGCGAGCAGCCCGGTCATGTTTGATGGCCTTTACGGGCGCCGAGCCGATGCATTGGCAGCTAACAGCCTGCGCCGGTCTGCGACCCAGTGCGGCTCCGCCGGGCTCCGCCCCGCCGCGCTGCGCTACGCCGCGCCACGCCCCAGACCGGCCCGGGCCGGACTGGTACAACGGCTCCCGCCCCACCCCGCGACCCCGTCGGCCTAGCCCCGCCGGGGCTCGGTTCTTGTCAGCGAGGACTTTGATTCCCAGGCTCCCCCGCCCCGCCCCGCCCGCCCTCGGCGGCCG